CTTCTCCTGACTCAGCCACCCACTCTCTGCTTTGCTCCTGCAGTTTGCCGGGACTTCGCCATCCTGGAGGATCACACATTGGCCCACAGCCTGCAAGAACAAGAAAGTAAGTCCCGTCAAGCAACGGAAGCTGGATTTGACTGCCTGTGGCGAGTGATGCTCGTTGTCATAATTCCTTGTGCTCTGCAGAATTCCAGTTTAGCCTATCATGAGGAGGTGCATGCAGGGCACCGATCCCCCATGCATGGGCCCCGGGCAAGCTGCCGTGGGCCTTTCCGTATTCCCTCCAAGTGTAGCTCTGCGGTCTAAGGGGTTGGTTTAAAAAAAACAAACATCAAAATGTTTAGCTTCCCAAGGAGCTGTGTTCTGTCCTGACCTTAGAACTCTGCATTAGAGACATTGCCTTGTCTCTTAAGACTAGATGAGAGAAAAGTAGGCCTTCATGTGCAAAAACCATAGTGCTGCAGTGCCATGTGCGCCGTGGGTGCGGATTTCCACAAGAATAATTTTTCGGGGCGCTAAATGCAATTGCGGATTTCCTCATTGGCGCTTTTTGGGATTTTTCCTTCTCCGAGAGGAATGGCCAAGGGTTTGTGTTTGTGGGAGGGGCTGTGGCTTAGTGGAAAAGCCTCTGCTTGGCATGCAGAAGGTCCCAGGTTCAGTCCCCGGCATCTCCAGTTAAAAGAACCGGGCAGGAGGTGATGTGAAAGACCTCCGCCTGAGAGCCTGGAGAGCTGTAAAGAGAGGCTGTGGCTTAGCAGTAGAGCACCAGCTTTGTATGCAGAAAGTCCCAAGTTCCATCCCCGGCATCTCCAGTTAAAGGATATGGCAGTAGGCAATGTGAAAGACCTCTGCCTGAGATCCTGGAGAGCTGTAAAGAGGGGCTGTGGCTCAGTGGCAGAGCATCTGCCCGGCATGCAGAAGGTCCGAGGTTCAATCCCCGGCATCTACAGTTGAAAAGGACCAGGCAGCAGGTGATGGGAGAGACCTTTCCTGAGACCCTGGAGAGCTGTAAAGAGGGGCTGTGGCTCAGTGGCAGAGCATCTGCCCGGCATGCAGAAGGTCCGAGGTTCAATCCCCGGCATCTACAGTTGAAAAGGACCAGGCAGCAGGTGATGGGAGAGACCTTTCCTGAGACCCTGGAGAGCTGTAAAGAGGGGCTGGGGCTCAGTGGTAGAAAGTGTTCCCTCTAAGCTGTGGAGTCTTGTGAGCAAAAATTGAGCTACTGGCATTAAAGTTGTGAGCCAGCGATTTGGCTACTGCATAAACCAGTTTGCTCTGGAGCCATCTTTCCTGAGCTAAGACAAAAATGTGTGAGCTGGGGGCTAAAAAACTGTGAGCTAGCTCACACTAACTCAGTTTA